ATTTGCTTATGTAAATCTGTATAAATACCCTCTTTGTTCTATGTTTTTCTTAAACAACAATGGATAAACCACGTGGGAAAAAGAAGTATTTCAGCGAGTGTGAAGTGGAGGTCATGTTAACAGAAATCGAGAAAAGAGAAGTGATATTTGGTGGTTTAAGTAGTGGCATCAGCAATAAACGAAAGTTGACGGAGTGGCACAGCATGGCGGAGTCAGTTAAAAGTGTTGGTTCCGAAATTCACACGGTGGCCGAAATTAAAAAGAAGTGGTCGTACATTAAAATCGACATGAAAAAATGAGCGGCCGCTCACCGCAAGAGTCTTAACAGCACAGGCGGAGGGAGCGGAATTCCCAGTCTCACACCCTTTGAGCAACGAGTTGCTGCAATGATCGGGGACACTTTTATTGGGAGAGGGGGACGCCGATGTCAGCGCAGTGAGTTTTTCTCGTACCATACTTGTTTGAATTACTTGCATGTTTATGAATAACACGTAGGGCGCAGATGCGGTGTTACTTTCGTTTATTCTTACAGACAATAGTACAAGAGGTGCCCCCAGTGCCGAGGACGACACAGGCGGTTTTGGTGCTGCTGTGCTGAGCACATCTTTGGGCGCTGGCTGCAAACATTCCTGTGCCTCAGAAACCGGGGGGCGACCATCTGGCCGTGTGCTGACTGAAGCTGTGCTGCAGTCACAAAAAGAAATCGTGAATGCTGTAAGATGTTGCCAATGAATTAAAACATCTAAATGATAGGCCTACGCTGCGTGATACTGAAGTTGTAACTCTGTTCCATTTGGCGGAAAATTTGGTGGCTCAGGGTCAGGTTCATCGTGCCTATGCTCTTCAGATACCGGCAAACCCCGATTTTGTGCCAGATTATGCAACACGCTACATGCGTGTACAATGCAACACACTTTTTGCAGACTGCATGTATAGCAGCACCCCAGCAGTCTTGTCCAGGTAGCGCCAACAGCCTTAAAGCCGCCCTACAGTGCACACCATCACCGCCGAGCCCGAGGATGGGGGGCAGCATTATAACGCCGCTCCTGTTCATTCTATGGGTTTGCGAGCGGCGTGAGAAGCCACGATAGACTTCAGTGGGTACCCACTGTCCCCTAAGGAGTTGTCAAATGGTTAAATCAAACAAAGCTTACCGTATTGGGCCAAATTATAAAATGGGAAAAATCTAATAACCGAGCAGCCAGCCATCACGTACCACCCCATTTTCAAGTTTGTTTCCAACACTACTGTTTCTGAAAATGAACGAATCATGGATTGAGCCAGGCCATCTAGTCACAACATTAATGCAGGGGCGTCATAAGAATTCTGAATGGGGGGGACACACTGGCATAAAACTAACGAATAATTATGAAATGTGAGGGGGACACGTCCCGCTCAGATTTAATGGCGGTGACGCCCATGTATTAATGAGATGTTCGAATCGCACATATTTTGTACATTAATAGAGTGAAAGTGCTTTCTATTTACATAAGCATAAGCAAATTCGTTCTCTGAAGGTGCCTTTATAGCAATGTGCGCGCCGTCGATGGCTCCAATTACATTGGGAAACCCGGACATCGCTGCAAATTGCGCTTTAATCTTTGCCTGTTCAACCACAGTGTAAGGAAATTTTATATGTCTGGGTGATATGCGGATTATGCTGTCCCATACAGCTGGCATGGCGCGACTCAGTGTTGACTGAGAAATACCCGATCGGTCCGCAAGTTCTCGCTGAAAAGCACCTGTGGCTATAAGAACCCACGAGTGGACAGAACTTGTAAAGGAACAGGTATAGCGCAATTCCTCATCATCTGCCTTTGTAATGCCAGCCCCAGTTCAGCACACAGCTCCAAATGGATTGCTTTTGGAGATCTGAATCAACTTAGAAGCCAGTCATCATCATGGGCCAAGAAATCACTATGATCCCTGAATACGCACTCTCCTCTAATTCTTCCATAAGCTATGTCTTCCAATAACGCAAGAGCTGCCATGGTAGTTGTAATAGTTCGGTCAGTTTCTGCACTGTTTTATTGTTACAAATTGATTAAAAATCAGGTGCCGTACATTTGTAAACAATATACAATTAATGTCGGTGTAAAGTCAGCATCATGATTGTCAGTTTAAAAAGGGAAACCACATGCAGTAGCAATGACTTGCCACTAAGTGCCGTCCGTTTACAAAACCGAGTAGAAACGTGCGTACGCCATGTCTGGAGCTACCGTGAGAATGTGCGTAGCAGTACGGCAAGTTTCGTTTTTATACATCTTGACGTGAGCATGGAAACGGACGTACGCAACATTTTCGTGCGTACGCACCGTTTATACATGAGGCCCCTGGTCACCAAGGCTTTGAGTAAGGTGAAATGGACACAGTCCCAGCAAGGCCCTCAACCTCAAATTTCCCAGGGCTGCTGGATGCAGGTTGAGCCTGTTCTCTGACCCCAAGCTTGCTTTTACCAGTCTATACGTCTGTGTGTCTCATGGAGAGTAAGATGAGATATGCGATACAACCAGTTTCCCCACAGAGACAAATGAAGGATCACTATTCTATTTAACCAAACGCTGCTGGGCAGGTTTTGACAAAGTTCTTTGTCAGTTTTAATGTTCCAAGCCCAGAGCCTTAGGCTGATTTATCCTCCTGCGTCAAGCCTGAGGCATAGTTACAACATAAGCTAACGTGCACCACCAAAAATTTAGTTACGCGTTGTGTCGACGTGGACCCCAACAATTCTGATTGGTTTGCTTGGTCAGTACTGGGAAGAAACACTGATTGCAGTGCTTTCCATGCTCCATTACAGTCTTCCAAAATTATGGAGGATAATATAATGAGGATATTTTGTAACTAGATGCAACCTGTTGGCTTCCACCTGCAGCTGGAACACGAAGGGCATTTGCCAGTCTCTGGGGAATGTCAGTCAGCATACTGTGTGTACACTGATGTGCAATAAACAAACAAAGATGGCAAACTGAAGGATCAAATCTATCTGCCGATATTTGAAAAAATATTAAATGAATCTCTTTATCCATCTCTCTTGGTTGTCATATCAGCACAGAAAAGTCCCCCTTCCTTGTGCCTCATTATGCTCATCAATCTTACATACCATCAAACGCCAACGCAAAAGTACAAATTGAGTTGAACAACACAGCCTACGGTGAAGCGTCGACACAGAAATACAAACGAATCAAATGTGATGTTTCCCCAAAAACTGACTTGTAATCAGTCATTGGTGCAGAAGCAAAACTGACAGTTGCAGGTGCTTGAAGACTGTATTGTTAGGTGTTCACTGCATGCCCAAGAAGTCACAGTCTTTGTCCACATCCATTTTCTGCAAATAAAATAACCAATGAGGTATGTCAGGTCTAATTAGTATAAAGACTGAACGTTTTGGATGTTGTCTCAAGCTCTTACTGGTGACATGGGCAGGCTCAACAGTAAAACTGTTTTTGGAAAACTTCTTCATTTTTGGGAGCCTGACTGAACTAACTGAATGAAACTTCATTTTCTGACTTGAATGAACATCAGACATATTATTTAACATTAAGAAAACAATACTTTTATGTGTTTATGTGCTTTATATAATAAAACAAAAGAAAACGAAAAAGGTATTGACATGCAGTGCCTCTCCCAGGATCCTTGGCCTGTGGCTGGTGATGTTTGGCTCATTGCTCTTGCTGTTGCACTTTGGGGTTCTCCCTCCCAGAGCAGCCTTTGTTACATTACTCACTAAAAGACCTGACATAGGGGCAATGGTGACTTTTCCGGGGGGGGGGAAAGAGGTGGGGGGCCTTGCTAAGGGGTCTTGGCCTGTTTATTAAGACGAATGATCAGGTATTGGGAATCAAAGACTTACGTTTCATAGTTTTCTTAGGTTATAGTGGCTCTCCTGTGTGCCACCTGTGTGCAGATGTTCTTTTCAAACTATAGAGCAACACAGATAAATGTAAGGTAATCCATGCAGGGAGCAGAAATATAAAGTACAGATATTTTATGGGTTCCACTGAAATAAAGGTAGCTGATTACGAGAAAGATCTCGGTATGTATGTTGATGCTTCCATGTCCCACTCTCGCCAGTGTGGGGAAGCAATAAAAAAGGCGAACAGAATGTTGGGTTATATCTCTAGGTGTGTGGAGTTTAAGTCAAGGGAGGTGATGTTACACTTATATAATTCCTTGGTAAGACCCCACCTAGAATACTGTGTGCAGGTTTGGTCACCATACCTCAAGAAGGACATTGCTGCCTTAGAAAAGGTGCAACGAAGAGCTACGAGAATGATTCCTGGTCTTAGAGGAATGTCTTATGAGGAGAGGTTAGCGGAACTGAATCTGATTAGCCTTGAGCAAAGGAGACTAAGGGGGGATATGATTCAGGTCTATAAGATTCTAACGGGTCTGGATGCTGTTCAGCCAAATGACTATTTCAATATTAGTCTAAATACTAGAACTCGTGGCCATAAGTGGAAATTAGCGGGAGAACATTTTAAAACAAATTTGAGGAAGCACTTCTTTACACAGCGTGTAGTTAGAGTATGGAATAGTCTTCCTGCTAGTGTAGCGGAAGCTAAAACCATGGGTTTCTTTAAATCAGAGCTAGATAAGATTTTAACAACTCTGAGCTATTAATTAAGTTCTCCCCAAACGAGCTTGATGGGCCGAATGGCCTCCTCTCGTTTGTAAATTTCTTATGTTCTTATGTATGTTCAAGTACCTGTGTGTAACGTCCCCTTCTGGTTGGCTTACGCAACTACACTGAAAATGAGCAACAGTGAATCTTATGTCTGAATATACTACATATATTAATATTTAGTTTTTCTAAATAATTTAATATTTTCTAGCACATACAGTATGCTGGGCTATTTTATTTGTTACTTTTTGCTCAAGCTTAACTGTCAGTTGATTTGTAAATGACACACTTATTAATTGACTCTGTTCTTTGAAGGCTAGAATTTTGCATTCCTGACCTATCACTGTCACCATGGGTGAAAACCTGACTGTCTCCTCAGGCAAGGGGGATGTTTTTGGGGACATCTTCTGGAAGGAAGTGAATCTGGCTCAGTCCAGCGCTAATGTGCGAGCCCTGACCTACTGCGACCTGCACATCATCAAGCGGGATGCTCTGCAGAAGGTGCTGGAGTTCTATACTGCTTTTTCCAACCACTTCTCCCGCAACCTGGTGCTGACATACAACCTGAGGAAGAGGGTGAGTTGGGCCTCCTGTGTCACTGCCGTGTTTTGCAATGTTAGCCGCTTTGCCTACTCCTGACCCACCCATAGAGAAATCTATTATCCACCTCTAACAAATACACTGTGCTTCCACTGTCTACACAATACATTGAATTACTGGAGGCAAATCCCATTTACAGGTTTCAGGGTAAAGATCCAGACCAACATTTTGTTTTAACCAACCAGTTGAGTATGTTGTGACTGTGACTTTTTATACTCAGCTGGTTGGCTGAAACAAAATCTTGGTCTGGACCTTTACTCACTGGACCTGAATTACCTACCTGTGGTTTCATGCCTCCATCTAAGGGGGATGATCTTTCTTTTTGTCGTTGGTGTGTAAATTCTTTCCTGGGTTACAGGTTGCATTGCAGGAAATGTGGAAAGTGGATGCTGCACCTAACTGAACATTAATCCCATTTATAGGTTTTGTGCTTTATGCATCGTGTGCCTATTCATGGCGAGTTTATGGGGTGCATAAATTCCTTCTGGGGTAGCATGGTGCATTATGGTAAATGTGGAACATGGGTGCTGTGTAACAGTCATCAAGACTGATATTGTAGTTAGATAGTGATTAAAAAGTTCCTTGCCAACTTACACACTTGTAGGAATCCTGTATGTTGTAAATATGAACGCTTCTAGGTACACCACATGCTGAGGAATAAGTGCCATATATTTGAATAAAACATGCATAACGTAGAACACAATTACAATGCTGACATTTATAATAATAAAAAGGCAAAAACAATCTCAGACAGATACAATCCAGGCCTAAGTGGAAAGAACAGGGTGATGGGCTCCTCCTATGTGTCATTAAGCTGTAGCGTTTATGGCAATTCATATTTTGCTAGAAAGCAGAATCGCCCTGTTTAAAAGTGTGTGATAAACAGAAGAGTGATTCATAAGCAAGAACTTCTGCCAAAGAAACACCTGACCAGAGCATCTGACAGAGGGTCTGTGGTCACTGAGCAGCCCCCGCATACCGGAGCTTTTGTTTGAGTCCTTCCAAGCGTGCTATCACCGAGTGGGGGGGTGGGGGGGTCGAATGATATACCGGCAAATAAATACTAGCGAGGTTGACGTCAGCGTTGTAAAGAGTGTGTTCACACATCAGCCCAGCACTGAGTTTATTCTCATTTCTAATCTACTGATGCTAACGGTTCCCCAGCTAACAGGGAACCTTTGCAGAACTTTAGCCAGTGTTATCATAGGGTCTTCTCAAAGAACGTTCTTACTGTAGTGTTAACGTTTTACATTCTAACAAAGGTTCTGTCAATGTCTTCGTGGTAAAATTGATCAAATTATTGCCTGAACTTACCTGAATTATTACCTAATTAATGTTGAAAAATATTTGTTTTACATTTACATTTACATTTACAGCATTTGGCAGACGCCCTTAGCCAGAGCGACTTACATAAGTGCTTTAAGAATCTACAATGAATCTGTTTTAAAATAATATATTCTTTTATGATCGGGCTATATGTACTATACTCTGAACATGCCATTCAGCCTCAAACCCAAGCAGCAGTGTTACCCACTGCCCTACCATGCCCTTCATTTGTTTGTGTAATATTAGTCTAAGTTGTAGTGGTAGTTGTAGTAGTGGGAAAATGCATCATGAAAACTGGACACTTTGACCGTTTCCATACCTAGCATAACATTCAGTAAACATTCCTAGGACGAACATTTTTTTGCGGGTTCACTTCATATTCTGCACCTTTATAGATCAGTCTGTTTTAATACCAGGTAATACTCAGATGTTATTAGATATATCTATGTAGAATTTTTCTTCATTTCCATATTCAGGGCGGTGTAGATAGGGTTAAAGACCCTGCAGCGTGTCACAGTGGGAGTATTACTGGTAATTGATTGATTAAATGAAATGACCACTGAAACTGAATCATTGCTTAACATGCTGTTTTAAGTGGGGCACCATCTATCTTGATAATGGAAATCTGAAATACATGCAGGAAAATCTATCAGAAGAAAAAATAATTGGGCTCTAGCCATTAAACAGCATTGATGATTTATTTGCCTTTGGGAAAAAGAGTTGGAGAAAAATGCTGGATAAAAATTGCATTGAAAAAAAAAGAATAAAATTGAATCAAATGGTATTTTTCATACATTTAGCCCCAGTGATTATGAAGAAAGATCTTTAAGATCTCCATTTATGTATAACTCATTTTATCAAACCATCTATGATTGATACTCACTAGATTCAAATACACTCATATCTGCTTTTAAATAGAGAGCTTGATTTGGCTTGTTTCTTATTATATGCAATCATATAATTTGTTCTGCAGCACTTGAACATTTCAGCATTTTCTGAGCGCAATAGTCAGAGCAGAATCCTACTTGGAAATGCTAAAATCTCCCCCCAGCTATCCACTCGGTTTAATGGGTTGGAGTTTTAATGGATTGTTATTCATTTATCACAAAATATATAATGTGCGAGGCAGACGCTTAATGTCAGATTAATCTGCACTCAGCATATGTGTCACAAAGTTGATAGAAAGGATAAAAAAACAATGCAATAAAAATAATGCAGCTTTGCGACTGAATCTATTATACATACAAAGGGACATTATCTGCAGTTGTATCTATGTATATTGACTGCTGATAATATGACTGAAAAACAGATGGTTTGAGGTTAAGGACCAACAACTGAAAGTTGCTTAAATGGTGCTTATTTGTAGACCCACGACCAGAATGTCGCTGGTTCAGATCCCATACCTGGTAGAGTGATCATATCCCCATTGGGCACCTCACCCCAAAAATTGTTCCAGGGATGTTGAATAAATGGCCGACCCTATGCTCAATCCCCAAGCTTCATTCTGATCTGTGTCTGTCCTTCTCATTGGAGAGTAAGTTGTGATATGAGAAAACTGAAGAAATCCTAGGTACCTTTACAAACATCTCATTATCGAGTGCAAGGTTAAAGTGAGCCTAGAGCCTGTCCCAGGAGACACAGGGAATGCCCTGGATGGATGCCAGTGCAGTAAACCACCCCAGTAAATTAATTAAGCTGTGCACTTTGCATGTTGGATAGTCCAGGGTAACACTCTGCATGTTCCTGAAGGTCTTGTCAGCGGCGTTCTTATAAATCATGGCCATACACTTTGACTCGTTTGATTGACAATGAACTGGCTTGGCAGTAAATGCTATGTAACTCTTCAGCATGTGACTTCGCTGATTTGATGCAAAAAGATCAATCATCCCTCGCTAGCAGTGGTGCCGCAGCTGACCCGTCAGTATCGTGATGTGTTCCAGCATGCAACATTGCATTCTGTAGATGCAAAACTAAGATGTCAGTTCATTAAAGTGGCCTCATGCATTTACATGAGCTGAACCTCTATTCTTAATGACATTATAAAGTCTAATTTGTGAAAATTAATATAATGGGAAAGATTATAATACTCATTAACAGTAATAGTGTGCAATTAGAACTGAATGAAAGCAGGAAGCTGTGTAGCAGTTCCTAATTCGGCCCATTCCAATTCATGAATCGGAATTTGAATTGAATCGGTCGCCCTGCAGGATGTTAAATTGGAATTTAGACTGGAATAACAGGAAGAAGAATTTCATTTATTTCAATTAAAAGGTGTTCAATGCAATCATACAGCATAAGTCTAATGCAGTATAATGTCATTTAATCTGTCCATTCATCCATCCATTCATCCACTTTCCATACCTGCTTGGCCTATAGAGGAACATGGTAGTCTGGAGCCTGAAAGGTACAGGCACAGGGCAGGGAATAGCCCAGGATGGGGCACAAACACATCGAGGAGCGTCTGGCTGCAGAACACTGGGTGACTCCACTAGCCGTAAATCACATGACCTCCATGTCTGGCCCCTAACATGACGTTTTGCGAAGTTCAGGAAAGGAGGCTGAATTATTATAGGATATAATAATAATGAGTATAATTTTATATTAGGGCTGTCAAAATTAACGGGTTAACGCGGATTAATCCATCATCTTGATTAATCAGATTATTATTTTTAACGCAATTA